AGCTCGGTGCACTATTTGGAGAAGCGCGGATGAAGTCTCGGAGAGACTCGTCTGGCTTCTGGCGGCGACTTTTAAGATCCCAGAATTCCTGAGGCGCACGTATGTGCCCCCGGAAGTTCCCGACGAAGATTCTAACCAAGTCGCGCCGATCGTGGATTTGCGAGGAGGAGATGCTCGGCCAGGCTCACGCCGAGTCCCGACAAAAACAAAGGGAGATTGCGGATGATGAGCAGGTCATCGTCCGCGCCACCTGGCTGGCGAGCGGCGTGTCGGTGAGCCGAGTTCGGGTTGGTCTCGCCTGTATTGCCAGTTGGTTGGCATTTGGCCGAACCAGGCGGGGAAAGGAGCAACGCGGATGGCCTCTTTGAAGACCCGAGGTCTGGCGACTTAGGGAAGGATGCGGTCCTCACCATTGTCGAAAGCGACCGCCTCGGTGTGGGTGGTAGCCTCGGCGGCTCCGCCGTCGTGGGCGCCGTCGCCGCCAACTACTTCGTGGTCGCCTGTGCCTCGTGTTGGTCCTCGAGTCGGTTCTGCGCACCGAGAGGGCCCTGATGACCGTCGGCGCCATGAGCGGTTTCGGGGACGGACCGAGGCACCCCGGCCTTGGCGAGGTCGTGCCGTGGGTTGCTCAAAGTGCCTCCAGCGCGGAGGAGGAGGAACTTTCGGACTGCTTTGCCGCTGCTGCGGTCTCGAGGAGGTCGCGGAGCTCTCTCCGCGGACCCGTCGCCCCCTCGGTGGTGGAGGGCTCGGGCATTGCTCGGACTAGCATCGCGTGACGGCTGCGACATTCTAGCTAAGCGGTTAAAGATTGGGGCGGCTCATCCCCTCGTTGTCGTTGATGCACGGTGGTGGACGTCGCGGGCCCTCCCTCGGGCCCCTCCGCCCTCATCAGCGCCCTTCTTGCCGCCTCCTGCTCGAGAGTGTCCGAAGGCATTGCGTAAGAGTCGGTCTTGTTCGACCTTGGCTTGAAGCTCGTGGAGCTGCTCCAGTCCGGGCGTCGATGCCCCCGCGGGCGGGATTCTCGTTCCGTCGCCGGGCCTCGAGACGCAGTGATGGGAGCGTCGCCCGCCGCCCCGGGCGGGAATGGTTGCCTGTCCTCTCGTTCCTTCGCCCGCCCTTGGCATCCCGAGCCCGGGACGTGGAAGCACTCACGAGATGGATCGTAAGTCCCTTCATCGTCGGAGTCGGAGATGCCGAGCGATGGTCGCTCGCATGCCAAGAATTGGCGCAAATCCCCGTGGTTGTGAAGTTCGGAGAAATCCACCACGGGCCATGCCTAAATCCTCGTCCGAGGAGTCGGGCGGGTGCTCAAGTCGAGAGCGCGCGCGCGCGCGGCGCCCGAGGGGTGCTCGTGAGTGGCGGCGTAAGCGTAGGGCGTGAAGGCGGCGGCATTTCTCAACCCAAAGGGGTATGGGGACGGGCCGTCTCCATATTACGCCTCGCGGGTCGGCTCTTCGAGGAGTGGCGGAGGCGGGTTAGACGATGGGCATCGCCAGTAAGCCACCGGCGATTTTCCTTCGTCGAGCTCGGGAGTTAGACGGGTCCCTGACCGGGGACCCGTACCAACAATTTGGTCGTAGGACATTGGCGGGGGAGAGGCGTGTCGCCTGGGCTCGCAGAAGCGTCGGGTGGCCTTGCTCGTCGTCGTGCTGGCGGCGTGGCGAGCGGCCGCCCGGGCGCCGCCGCGCTGCTGGGCGCCGGCGCGACTTTCGTCGTCAGACGGTGGGGTTCGAGGAGTGAGGAGCACCATGTCGCACTCATGCCCTAGAGACATGAACTCTAGGCTCCCCAACCAAACTATGGTGCCGAGACGCAATGGTCGTATGTAGTCCGCCATCCGGAACTTGCTAGGATGACGAAGGTCGACACGCAGGCGCCCTACTGGCATGCGCCAACTGTTGGTGTTTTGGGAACCGGGGTCCCTCAACCAACGAGTGAATTTGTCTTTGCGTGCCCCTAATCCCGGATGGTGGCGCAAAGAGACACAAGGTTTATCTTGGTTCAGCAATCGAGGCCCTACGCCCGGTCGAGAGATCGATCTTGTATTCCTTGCACCGGAGTGCTCGTAGTAGGGGTTACAAGCTAGGTGAGAGAGGAACTAGCCCTGTGTCTCGGCGAGTGTGGTGCGGGCTGCTTGAGGCGTTGTTCCCAAGCGGCGTAGGAGTGCGTGGTTCTATCGGCGTGTTCGTCTTTTCCGCCTCTCTCGAAATGGCCCCGATCCCTCCCTTTTATACTCTAAGGTAGGACCGGGACCGTGCATGTGGTGCTACATAGCGCTTCAGTAAATGGGGTGGCGTGTCCGAGCCTCGTAGTCGACCCTTTGTTGTGGTATGGTCGATGGAGTGGCCCCGTCCTTGTCGTGGCGGAAGTGACATGCTTGGTCATACTCGGTCTTGTGCGTCGTGGGGTTCCGATGACGGCTTGATGTAGGACATGGCGGGCGACGTCTTTGGTCGCGAGTGTAATGACGTCGTAGGGAGCAGCGGCTCTGCAGATGCCGAGGCCGAGCCATCGTGGGGGCTCGGTGGTCATGGACCCTCAGTGCCGCCGAGCCCGTGAAGCAAACCTGTCGAGGCCTTGGGGGAGTTATTGGCCCCTGGTGCGATTCCGAGGCCACAGAGTTTCAGACGTGGCTCCCCATGTTGCGTTGTCCTTGGAGCGGGAGTTGGCAAGCGGCCACAGTGAGGCATGGGTGTCAACCATGTGCACGGTGGATAGCATAGTGACGGGTAACCCCCCCATCGGGGGACGTCGGCAGTCATCGCGTGATGACGTCGTGAGGGGGTGTGGCTCAGAGGTGCCGAGGCCAAGCCATCGCGGGGCTTTGGCGGACATGGGTCCCTCGTTTGTCGAGCCCGTGGAGCAAGTCGCCGAGGCCTTGGAGGGAATTATTGCTCCTGGTGCGATTCCGAGGCCACAAGTAGCCAGATGTGGCTCCCCCCACGCCGCATTGTCCTCGGTGCGAGAGTTGGCAAGATAGTGAGGCATGGGCGCCAACCCATGTGCACGGTGGTTAGTATGCGATGGCGGGTAACCCGCCTTGAGCCCCGCCTCATCCCATCGGCCATTCTCATCTTGCATCGCGGGCATGCGGTCGTTGTCGTCGGGGCAGCAGTTGGTGAGTTGATGCGACACGACGTTTTGCCAGAGGGACGGGAGAAGGAAGAGGTAGCGGAGTGATGCCGAGCCCGCCTTGCGCGAGACGGAGGGTCGGTGGCCTCGGCCGAGGCCTTTGGCGGGGAATCGACCGAGGTCCGCGGTGATGAGGCCTCGGGCGAGTCGGAGAATCGGCCGAGGCCCGCGGTGATGAGGCCTCGGGCGAGTCGGAGAATCGGCCGAGGCCAGCAGCGTTTAGCTGGTTTCGATCTTTACGAAATCTAAGCAGTCGTTTTTTGGATCTTGCTTAGGGTACCCCTTCTCACGGTATCCGACAGTCGGACTCGCCCGCGCATCCGAAGAAATATTTCTTCAAACAGAGAGCAGTCAAAATGACAGCAGACACGTCCGGTCACCACCCGCGCCAGAGTCCGGTGCACTCAGCAGAGCTGCCCTGCACCTAGGGTTAGGTATCGGACGCGTTCGATGCTCACGGCATTAGTGTCCGATGCGTTCTAGTGAACCCTTTCACTTCCTTTCTTCATCCCTTGTGCAAATGTGTTAACTCCACCAAGTTTCCAACACTTGTGTACGTGAGTTAGCATTTCACAAACTTGTTTTACAAAATACAGGCAATAACAGATATTTTATATTTTTAAAAGTACGAATCCAAAATCAGATAGAAAGAATTATAAATAGCCAAAATAAAATATAGCCATTTAGAATAGGATATAAATACGGATATCTATATTAGTAACTTTAAAAGAAATGTGGAATTTAGATTTTTCAGCATCTGGGTTCGCCGTTTTTTTTTGACTCGTTTATTAAGCACAAGCACGCGTCGGTGGATGAGTCAAATCAAAATGTTGTACCGTAGTACTTTCTGACTATTATTCCCTAGAATTTTGGAGTCGCCATTTCTACTTTCTCCCCGTTCGCGTGTCCGAAACCGACGGGGCTCCGCCGTATTCGGCTAGGTCGACGGGGCTGGCCGGTGAGCTGACCGGGTTGGACGAAACTGGTTGCGGACTTGCGGTACTGGTACATGGGCCGCGCCGCGCGCGCCACCTAGGCTGGCTGTCAACTCTGAACGATCCGCCTAACTGAGCCTCCACCACAATCGCGTGTGCTCCGAGCTGCCGTGGCGACAGACAACACGGGAGGTTCCGTTCCGTGTGGGCGTCGGTGTCGTGGCCCTTTGGCTTGGTGATTTCCTCCCCCTAGCACATCCATCCACGGATCCATCGCACGAACCACCCTTGACATAAAAAGCTGCGTCGATGTTGCTCACACAAGACTAATATAAAATTTTAGAAATTTAATAAGCAAGGAAAGATGCCTGCCCTGCACACTTTAGCTCCTGCGAAAGCTATGTATGTTCCGCACACGGAGAACCAAATCTCGGTCACGTTTCCAGCGCAGCAGGCTCGTTCGGGTCGGCTGCGGTGCATGAAGATTACAGTACGACAGCCTGCGCTCGGCAATAGAAGCAACAACGGCCTGCCCTGCTCCGTCCGCCAACGACGAACGGCGACATGGTCTCACTGCCTTTTTCCATCTCAATTCTCAACGATTGTTTTTCGTGGTACGGTGTTACTCTGTATGTATGTAGTATGATGGCTTATGGCTGATGATGGGCGACCTGCACCAAACCTGCATTTTCAGACTGATCTCCGCTCTCATAAACCGCCGCTCGCCCTGCCCTCCCCCCTCGTGATCTCCGCCCCTCCACACACACACACACACCCTCAAAACTTCTATAAAAAACGCCGAAAAACCAACGAAATCCACGCGTTTCTCGGCATCTCGGACGGCCCGCGCGCGCGCGACGCCAGCCCACCACCGACCCACGCGGTTGCCAACCCAACCCAACCCCCCGGACCGACGCCACGCCTCCCGCATACATGCCGCCGCCGCCCAGCGTCACCGCGGCGCACGACCCGGCCGCCGCCGCCACCACCGCCACCACAACGCGCCGCCGCAAGGACCACGCCGCCAAGGTCCACCTGGCGCTGGGCGGAGGAGGCGCGGGGGCGAAGGAGATGGGCGCCGCGGCGGAGGGGTGGGCGCGGCGGCCCGAGTGGTGCTCGGCGGCGGGCGTCGCGGCCGTGCTGCGGCGGCACCCGGCGCCCGCGCTCTTCGGGTGCGGCCTCCTGCTCTTCATGGCCGTCGAGTACACCATCCCCATGGTCAGGCCGGACTCCCCGCCGCTCGACCTGGGCTTCCTCGCCACCAGGGGCATGCACGCCGCCGTCGCCGCCACGCCCTGGCTCAACTCGCTCCTCGCCGCGCTCAACACGGTCAGTGCCCTGCCCACGCCGCCTGCCTGCCTAGATTTAATTTTCTTTCCGTCCCCTTACCTGCCTAGCTTCAATGCACCGCCTCCTCTTCTGGTTGTTGCCTGCCTCGAGTGCCTTCCGTCTCCTCTTTAATTTTGCCGCCGTTTTTGGCCACCAATTATTGTTCCTAGAAGTACAATACCCTTCTCGGCTTTGATTTCAACGGACGAGTAATTCCAATGACCAGCATTCGTAGTACTTTCTTCCCAGCTTGTTCACCTAGCTGGACCCTTCCTAATCCTGGGATTTTAGCAAAACGAAAAAAAAAAACTCGCCGTTTGTCGGCCAATCTAAGAATAAAGAGTAACGAAGGGTTCGTGATGCTAATACCATAGAGATAAAATATATAAAAATGGTTAGGATAATTTAGAAATAATATATGATTCTTGACATAAAATTGTGTTCTATATTTTAGGGAAGTGGATTATTAGAAATTATTGGAGATAGCCTCCTTTATTTCTTACAATAATTTTTAGGAGTTTTAAAACTCTATGTTTTTTAAGGCTGTGTTTAGTTCACAAAACTTAGGAATTTGGCTAGTGTAGCGTTTTCGTTTTTATTTGATAATTAGTGTTCAATCATAGACTAATTAGACTCAAAACGTTCGTCTCGCGATTTCCAACCAAACTGTGCAATTAGTTTTTTTTTTGTCTACGTTTAATGCTCCATGCACGTATCGTAAGATTCGATGTGACGGCTACTATAGTACTTTTTGAAACTAAACACAGGCTAAGAAGAAAATATTAGGTAATCTTGAGATGCTCTAACTGTCACATTAGTGGAGCAGTATATTTTGGCACCCTTTTGTGCTGTTACAAAACTATACTAGTATTCCAAGCACAAGCACTTCCAGCAATCAGCATGTACAATGCCAAGGCACTTAATTTTTATACTAGTAAAACTGGATGAATTAGTGTGGAATTTATTGGATTATAGAGCAGTATAAAATAAAATACAAGTAATCCGGCTTTGTTCTTGTCAACCTTTGGAGCTTCCCCACTGTGGACACCAAAGTTAGCACTGTCAATGCACCGGCAATGCCGCATGTGCCTCGCACTTCCCCAACCAATAATTAATTAACAGCGTACCCGTACTTTTCAAGCCAGCCCTGAGCCACTCGTAGATTACACTTCACGCTGACAGATTTGTCCGGGCGGTCCTGCCACTGCAACTTGTGGCCACGAGCAGAGCAACGAACTGGTGGCGCTGGTTCACCGGCACCACCGCCAAATTAAATCCTCCTTTTTTCCACCGATTTCTTGATAAGACTCTGCATCTCGCCAGCTTCTGCATGGTCCCCGGCTGACGCTGACACTGACAGCCACCGCTCATGTGCGCGTGCGTGCAGATCTTCGTCGCGATGCAGGCGGCGTACATCCTGTGGGCGATCCTGGCGGAGCAGCGGCCGCGCGCGGCCGTCGCGACGCTCATGATGTTCACCTGCCGGGGCGTGCTGGGCTGCGCCACCCAGCTGCCGCTTCCCGAGGAGTTCCTGGGCTCCGGGATGGACTTCCCCGTGGGCAACGTCTCCTTCTTCCTCTTCTTCTCGGGCCACGTCGCGGGCGCGGTGATCGCGGCCGCCGACATGCGCCGCGAGGGGCGGATGGCGCTGGCGCGCCTCTACGACGCGCTCAACGTGCTCCAGGCGGTCAGGCTGCTCGCGTGCAGGGGCCACTACACCATCGACCTGGCTGTCGGCGTCGGGGCCGGGATCCTCTTCGACACGGTGTCCGGGTGGTACTTCGACGCCAAGAACGGCGACGGCAAGAACGCGCCCGAGAAGCACTGCCGTAGCTGCCAGTGCCACAAGGCTCTCCTCTCACACTAGCTTATACTCTCTACTAGCAGTATATTACTCTTTGCTAGCTCTGCAAGTGCCAACCATCAACGGCAAATTGAGCATTAGTTAATTCCTGTCATTTTTTAAGTTTCTTTTCTTTTATGGAATCATTTTGATGTAAGAGAATATATTCAAATGCTACTTACGGATATGTAATTGTACAGATTGTTCACCCGATGCGAGCTGTGAACACTACTATCTGAATTCTGCAGTTTGCAGGCACTAGAGGACTAGATTAGACAAAATTAACACCGAGCTTGTGTTGTGTGGAACTCGGCCTCCATGACCTCCACGTTCTTGGCCTGATGCGAGTCCTACTGCTCCAGGTGTTTCATATGCAAGGAGCCCTGCTTAATGAGCCCCTGATTATTGCTTCTAGACTAGATGAAGTGTTAGAGGCCTTGGTGTAAGGGACGATCGCCTTACGTTCTAAACTATAAGTTGTTCTAGTTTCAAAATTATGTATCTGGCATATAGTGCGTATTTAAGTTTGAAATGGAGGAGGTAGATGATATTAATTTTCTCTTTATGGTTCTAACTTTAACCAAATTTATAGATAAATAATACTAACATCTATAATATCAAAGATATGTACCATGTCGATTTATAACAACCCAAAGGATCAAACCCTATGGCTTTCCAAGTCATGAGAGTGAAACGCCAAAATAATCATGGTTAAATATTCAAATGTGAAGGGCTTGGATTGGATACAGAACATATAGGTTCTCAAGGTGTTATTTGTGATTTTAGCAAGATTCCAAGTAATAATGAAGGATAGATAGAAGGTGGTCGACCCTGAAAACAACACAGCACAGGCCACATACTTAACTAAGATTCAAGAACATATGAGGTGGTGTGTAGCTGACGTGGGCGTCCACTAATATAGAAATGGTTTACGCCATCTGTATTTTTCAGCGGTCGTTGACGAAAATAATTTTCATTGTTGGTTCGTAATACAAACCAACATTGAGAATTATTTTTGCCAGCAGTTTGCTATACCAACCGTTGTGAACAAATTTGCATTGCTCCCATCTTTGTAAAAGGCCAGTCCAACCAATCTCAACATGCGAATAACCTCATATAATATATAATAAGGAAACCTAACCTCCCCTCCCACTCTAGCATCCTCTCACTCCCACCTCTACTCAGTCGCATCTCTCCATCTCCCGGCTACACCTCTCCCTCTCTCTCCTCATCACTCCTCCTTGCCCCTCTTCGATGACTGTGTGGGATGACGACAGCAAGGGGGCCGCACCCATCCACGGCACAGGGGGAGCCACGCCCCACCCGCTGGTGCCACCGCGTTGCGTCCTGTCCGGTGGTGGTGAGGGGGGCATTGTGACACCTAGCCCAATTTGGATTTAGCCCATGCATATATTTATGTGAGATTGTAGGGGGTTCAGTCCCTGCCATGTGTATAATTTCCTCGTCAGTTTAAGACAAACCAACAAGAGTATTTCTGTTGGGAGAACGCCCTACATATGCCGCTCCACCCCCACCTTGCCCTGGACTAGACCCTCGCTTGTAAAACATACAAGCTCTAATCGACATCGCCGTTGAAGTCGCCGCTGATCTTCAACGCCGCCGCTTATGCCGACGTCCCTACCACGACTACTTCGACGACGTCGACATTCCGACATTGTTAGTGGCAGGGGTGGATCTACAGTAGGTGCATGGGGGTACAGTTGTCCCCCCAAAATTTCTAGAAAAACACCAAGTATATATACCCTTTAATACCCCGTGATTCTCACCTTAGCTCGACGGTCGTCGGTTCATCAGATTTCGTCAAGTAGCAAGCCATCGCTTCCAATTTCGTATCTACTGCTTGCTTCTTAGGGTTTCGCACCTCTAGATGAATATGGTAATTATTTATATATCCTATCTATTCTATCGTGTAGCGAGTCGGTGCTTTTGTGGTTGTCTTTGCAGTTGACAGTAAACTCGGGGCCAAGCCCGCGAGTACGGATCGAGGCCAAGCCTCGCGAGTGTCAGTTGGCATTGTCAGTGGTAGTAATTCTCTTTAGCTATAGCAATGGCACGTTTCAAGAATGCTGGAGGTGGTCCCAGTGATGAGGATCTGAGGCCTCCGCCTTGCTTGATGGCTCAGGAAAAAGGAAAGGCGAAGAAGATTACAACAATAAAGTGTAAGTTTGGAGATGCTGAGACAGAGAGAGCAGTAGCAGTGGCAGCCGCCGCAGAGCGAGCAGAGAGAGGTGGATCTAGGGTGGTGTTCACATTGCTGATCAGTTCTCACCAGCACAGAGGGCCATCGTCGAGAGGGCTGAGACTCTTCATGGTAGTCCACCTAGGACTATCATGCTAGGAGGACGGCGTGTCTCTTTAGAGGAGAGTCAGCCTCAGGGGGAGACAGAGCAACAGACACAACCAGTGGAGCAGACTGAGGAGACAGAGCAGGCAGCACAGCCACAACTTCGATGCTCTGGTCGTACACGTACTCAGGTGTCGTCGAGGCCTGAGACATAGAAGAGGGGCTCTCATCCACCTCCCAGACCACAGGGTCTGCCTCTCATGGTTCACCTTGACTTGAGGGCAGCCATAAGCCAAACAGGTGCAGCAGCTCTGCTTCGTGCATTTTGAGGACTGGTTTCCGTCGAGGCGTGATTAGGATTAGCGTGCTTCAGAGCACTTCTATACAGTACTGCATGAGGATTTCTATAGTGCTTATCTGAACAGTGGAGTTGCTTTTAGATCTCAAAGAGTTTGCTCTATAGAGTCACTTGTTGCAGCAGTAGTCGAGCAGATCCATCCTCACCTCTCATATCTGCCAGGGTTGACAAATCTTCTTGGATGGACTGGCTGCTATGTTCCATCATGGGTCCGTGAGTTCTACTCTTCTCTTTGGATTGACCCGAGGCATATATTTATACACTTTGCTTTTAGAGGCTGTGACTACAGGCTCCAGAGCTCGAGGGTCAGAGAGATACTGTGGATTCTAGAGTCCTCTATTCGCCTTCATGAGGTATATTATGGACAGACAAAGCCTTCGAGACACCCTCACGGCAAACTTGTGCCACCTACAGACCTTGTCAGAGTGTGCTTCACAGAGCCTTTTGGCGAGGGGTCGAGCAGGACACCACGTGATCTTACACCTACAGCTCGGCTTCTTGATGCTATTATGAGGACTCTGCTCCCGAGGATGGGTTATCATAAGGGTTTGACTCGCATTCAGTTGTGGTTAGTGAATTCTCTGGTGTCTCATACCGTATTTGATATTTGGGATGTCATACTTTTAGAGATGGAGGACACACTTACAGAGGGTTTCAGAGGTCATTGTCAGCTGCCTTATGCTCACTGGATCACTTTCTTGATTCACAAGGCAATTACACAAAAGTATCCTGAGACGATGGCAGAGTATACAGGTGCCACTACTGAGTTTCCACCATATAACATGACCTAGATGCTCCACCACAATAGTGCGAGGACACCTCACCAGCCGAGCCATCGCCCAGAGGTCCTAGAGACAGCAGCCCAGCAGGATGAGATCATCAGGGGCATTGCAGGGATAGAGGAGGAGCAGCTAGATGCTCAGCAGGAGGGTGTGATCAAGAGTGACAGCTCTGATGATGATTATCAGTCGATTCCATAGATGGCTCCTCGACCACACAATAGAGAGGCCAGTGGCTTCAGCTCCACTCCACTACAGCCACCACAGACAGATCAACACTTCTTGTCGTACTTGAGCGGATGAGGCAGGACCAGGCACGCCAGGCACAGGAGACCACAGCTGCACTTGCATAGGTTTAGGCTCGACAGGACGAGTTCTAGAGGTAGCAGCAGGCCATGCAGCAGCAGCAGCTCATGATCTAGCAGCAGTTACTTGGCTTCATGCAGCACATATTCTCTGCTATCAGGAATGCTCCTTAGCAATCTACACCTCAGATCGGCCAGCCTGCCACGACTTCAGTGTCTCCAGCTGTATAGCCCAGTGGGCTTCAGAGTCAGGGACCACCAGCTACACAGTTTGCTTCACCTACAGAGCAGGTGTCCCAGTGGTTTGCTTCATTAGTGATAGCTCAGGGTCCTCACTTCACTCCCATTATTACGGGAACCACTCCGCCACAGAGTTCCTCAGTGCTAGTGATTGACACCCTAGTCTCCAGGAGTCATGGTGCTACATTCAGTGAGCTTACAGGGTAGCCTACACCTCCAGAGTTGCGAGTCCCTATCTCTACCACAGTTGCTCCTATTACCAGGACTACTGAGACGATCTCGTCGTCTGTTGCATCGTCCGAACTAGTTACTTCAGTTGTTTGAGCAATAGTGACAGCAGCAGATGTGGCTCCACTTCCTTCAGTTATACTTCTAGAGTCATAGGCCACATCAGTTACTGAGCAGACCCAGACCGCTTCACCTTCACATCTAGCGATAGAGGGTCAGACCGCTTAGAGCTCAGGGTTAGAGGATGATGCTGCTCAGTTCTAGATTTCTCATCGCACCTCAGCGCCCGACTCGTCTGCTCCTATCCCACCATCTGACCCTTAGGTTTTGGTGCTTGATGCCAAAGGGGGAGAGGGATCGAGTATGCTAGATCTAGGGGGAGCGGTACATCTAGGGGGAGCATGTGATTCGTTACTTTTCATTTCTTATGTGTGATACTCTATGCATTCACGTTTACTTTCATGCATTACACTACATACATGTGATTGTGATACTTATGTGACATGTGTGCTCTCTATATTGATTTATATATATATCATGTCACTTGGTTATGCTCATTTACTTTGCTTCTGCATTTTACTCTGATTCAAATAAGCTTTACTTCATATACTCTTGCTTAATTCATATCCTTTGCTCTTATTCTCAAAAGCTTATATGAACAAAGCATGTTGAAAACCTCACTCATCTCTTTTACATACTCGAGGTTATGTTGTCATCAATCACCAAAAAGGGGGAGATTGAAAGCATCTAGGCCCCTAGTTAGGTTTCGGTGATTAATGACAACACGAGATTACTATGACTAACGTGTG